TGTCTTTGTTGTTGTGTTTGTCGTCGACGTCGTCGTTGTTGTTGTTGCTGTTGTTGTTGTTGTTGTTGTTGTTGTTGTTGTTGTTGTTGTTGTTGTTGTTGTGTTTTGTGGTCCTGGTGCACAGTAAATATCGTCTTTGGCAAGATTGAGTGTTGGAGGTGGAGTTGGAAGTGTTGTCGTGATGCTCGTGTCGACGCAGTAAGTGGGCGTGTTGCTGTTGGCGGTACATACAGCAGTAGTGCTTTGTGAAAACGGGAACTGTTGTTGCTGTTGCTGTTGTCGTTTGTACTGTAGTCTAGTGGTTTGATGGTTTGCTGTTGTTGTTGCTGATAACGGTTAGCTGGGGTAGATGCAGCTGTTGCTGTTTGTTGGCCGTTATTGTCGAGCCTTGACGACCTTGGACCCCTGGTCGAGTTAACTACTGCTATCTGCACCTGTTCAACACACCTATCACAAACCTTTCCCCCTCAACCTTCCTAGTCCCCCCCCCCCCCGCGCGCTTCTTACGCGCGCTATGTAACAAACGAAAGCGTCAAGCTCGCAGCAGCAACAACAAGCCCGTCGCCTTGCGACCGATGCCACCACTCTCTGCGCTCTCATGCCGGCGACTACCGCCGCCGCCGCGGCCGCTACCGGCGGCGACGGCGGCGACGGTAGAGGGCTGCTGATGAGGGCGGGTGAAGCCGTTGTTCGAGCCGCAGCGACGATGGCTTCGGCGGGGCTTCACGTTCGAGGCCCGGAGTTTGCCGCCCTGCAGGTTCGTTCGTGCGCCCTCGCGTACGCCATGCTTTTGTTAGTTTTTTTCTAACCGTAGCAATAATGAAATAGGGTTGTCATTCGTTTCACTGGTATTTTTTGCTAACCTTGGAACAATAAACCGTAGGGTTTGTCACCGATTTTTCCGGTATTTTTTTTGCTGACCGCAGCAAAGAACATGGGGTTGTCACTCGTTTTTCTGGTATTTTTCGCTAACCATAGAAATGAAAAATAGACTTGTCGCTCGTTTTTCTGGTATTTTTTTGCTACCCGTAGCAGTGGAAAATAGAGTTGTCTCTAGTTTTAGTTGTTGTTGTTGTTCAGAAGCGGAAATACTTACTTATGTGTTTCGTAGAGTCGTTTCTTCTTATTAGACTTTTTCTAGTCCAGACTTTTCACTATTTCGTGTTTGGCACTCGTCTGCTCGTGGTACACCAGGCATGTCATTGGCTGCTGTGCGATTCCAGTGTTTTGCGATTTATTTTAATCGCTCACCCCTTTCTTATAATGGATGAACTAGCCCCGCGTTCTCAAGGCAGTTAATTGCCTGTACGTAAGGGCGGACTTAATGTCCTTGACTTAATGTCCTTGAAACTACGAGCATTACTGCTGTGTTCGGTGATTTCACAAATGATTTAGTGAAGGAGTATTCGTACGTAGAACGTGATACAACACACTCCACATATTTTTTTGGTTTTCGTTTTCCGCGGTTTGTGATGCCCCGCCAAAATGCTTGCCACAGAACAGTTTTGTTTTTGAATTTTTTCGTAGAGAACATTTTGCTTCCCGATGATTGGTCTACTTTTTTATTTTTATTTTGCGTTCACCACCTTATGTACTGTAAATTTGTCGTGTTTCTGATTTGTCTACTTTTGAGTTGTCGTGCACCTCGTATAGAATGTACTGGTATTGTTTATGATTGGTCATCTCTTTCCTCCGAAATTTAGTGTTCGTGTGATTGGTCCCCTTTTTTTGAGCAGTCGTTCACCTCCTGAATTTCAGTGCTGTTTTTCTGTTGTTTCCGCAGGCGGCCGCCTTGAGCGCTGTCGGAGGGCTTCTGCCTGGCCTAGCGGCAGGAAGCGACGGGGACAACAACGCCACGTATGTACAACCATGCATGACTTAATTCATGTTGACATGCATGGCGCGCGAGAGGGAACAGGGAGTTTTAATTTTAACGTGAACGGAGCGCTGAATTTGCCAAAAAAAGGCAAGCAAGAAGGGAAGTTTTGTTAATCCAGCATTGTTACGATTGAAAGCAACAATGACACAACATGTTGTAGGTACTTACTTTCAGTTATTGTCAGACTCAGTGTACAGTTAGAGTCAGACCTCGTGTACAGTTAGAGTCAGACCTCGTGTATCTGCGTCTCGATGTGTTGTTGGAACGGTTGGAACCCCCCAGGGCTATAGCGGAGGCCGTCGTTGCCCTGGTGCGGAGCTGCTGGGAGAGCGCCGCCAGCGAGGGGGGCGGGGACGGCAGGGAGGTCGTCCCTGTGTCGGCGGGAAGACTGCTGCTCTCGTTGAACACCGTGCTGCCCCCGTCGTCGCTGGAAGCGAGCCAGGCCGTCGCCGCTTTGCTCAAGCAATCCAGCCAGGTAGGTCCCCCCCCCCCGGTGTTTGTCATCGGGGTTGGATTTTCGTCGCTTGGCAACGACGTTGTAAAACAAGCCCCCCCCTCGGTGTTTGCCATCGGGGTTGGGTTTTCGTCACTTGGCAACGACGTTGTAAAACAAGCCAATTCACTTCGTGAACTCGGCAACCAGGTTGCCGGTTTTTTTTTACCTCGTTTTTTTTTTGGCGGTAACCATAATGGTGGTCGAGTAAATCATGTTGTGCGGGGTGGAAAACCCTCGCTCCGCCCAACGGGGGATGATCGCACCACGTTGTGTTAAAATGGTCAAGCATCCTCGAGGCAGTTACACAGTGCTTACAACTGTCTCTGGAAGTGAAAGCACCAGAAGATAAATTAGGTCATACGCAGCTGTCATCCGTACGCAAGGAAGTAAGCACAAGATGCCGAACACCCTTAGCAGGATGCAGCTCACCCTTCATGCGACTCGCCAAATACCTCACGGCGCTTCGCGCTTGGTGATGTGAGAGCCTGGTCCGGTGAGAACCCGGCGTGCTCCGTCCCGGCTTTGTAGGGATGCGAGGTCAATGGTCAAACGACTACGGCATGCACGACTATGAGTACACCCCCCCCCCCCCCCCCTCTTCGATAGGATATATAGGGTAGGGAAACTTTTTTGAGACACCTTTGGCAAAGAGGAGGAAGGAATGATTTGCCCATCGGTGATGCGTCTTGTGGCAACAATTCTCCGCCCTCTCCAGGTACTCGTGGTCAATGGTCTAACCGCTAAGGCATGCAAAGCATGAATAGCGCCCACCCATACCTTCGATGTGCCTCCTGTTCGCCGTCCCCCCGGTGATAGAGATTGATGGTCTACGCTGTAAGCTACTCTACCGCTAATGATTTCGACCCCCCCCCTCCCCCCCCCCTTGCGGCTTGAAAACCTCGTGCATGCTTCGCCTACTTATTGTTGGTATCCCTGTGTGTGTCTGTGGTTTTCGAGAGCAGGTGGCGGCTACTCTGCCGGTGGCCGCGCGCGTGCTGCTGTACTCCAGCCTGTCGGCCTTCCTCATGCCTCCCCGGCTCCTCCACGGCGACATGGGAAAGGTGCACGCCGTAGGCCGGTCGGTACATAGGTTGGTCGGTGCACAGACACAGCCAGCAGGGAGGGGAGAGTGGGGAGACAAGAGCGGACACGGTGTAAGTGCGCTCTTTGTGCATCGAACGACTCTACTGCATTTGCTTGGGACGGGATGTGTGTGCATCGGACGAGGTCTCCACGATTGGCTGTTTGGTGCTCGCGTTGTGGACATGGTGCCGTTGCTTGCTCTTGTTGGTTTTTCTGCCGCTTCTGCCTTGTTGTTGCTGCTGCTGTTGATTGCTGTTTCTGCTGTTTGCTGTTGTTTTTGTTTGTTGTTGTTGTTGTTGTTTGTTGTTGTTGATTGTTGTTGACGTTGCTGCTGTTTGTTTTATGTCGTCGTGCGAGTCATTTTTATTCTTTACTGTTGCCGCCGTTTCACGTTTGGCCTTCCTCCGCTGCCTCACACAATGCGCGATGCATGTCCTAGGTGAACGACCTCGAGGGGAGGTCCCGAGCGTACTCGGAGCTGGTGACGCCGGTCCTAGGACCGTTCTCGGCCGCCCTTGCAGGTAAATGAACGGAAAACGCTAAGCAGCAGAACAGCAGTCTCCCATCGCTTCACTCCGGGAAAATAAAAACGTTTGTACTACTGCACCATGTTAGTTTTTGGGGTACCGCCTCAACCCTTCAGCGCAAGTAGTCTTCCCAAGACATGTCCCCCTGTTGATACCCCCCTTCCGTTGGTACCCCCCGTACTAAGACCCCACCCCACTCCGCTACGCGCTTGGTGGTGCGAGAGCCTGGTCCGGTGAGAATCCCCCCCCCTCCCCCCCATTGGTACCCCCATCTGGATGGGGATGGCCGTCGCGTGTGCCGCTAGCAGTGCCGCTAGCAGTCAACACCAAAACGTACGCGCCGGCTCTCATTCTCATTTTTTGTTTCTGGAAGGTCTCTCAGTCTGACCCACGAACGAATGCTACAACAGAGTACAGCAGTACTATCCGTAGGTCACCAAAGGCCCAAGTGTCGAACGCCATTTCAACGCTTTTTTTCCTTTTTTTCAAATATGGCCACCTAGCAGCACCCCCCCCCCTCTTCTATCCTGTGCACGGCGTGCGCAATATATTCCTTCTTCTCCTTCCATTGACCCCCCGTTTTCTTTCCCGACACTACCCCCGCAACCCTTTTGAATCAAATCCCAACATAATGGATGTCTCTAAATTCTTCTTCGGGTGTCAAAATCGCCGCCGCCGCTGCGGTCTCGATATTTTTGACGAGAAAAGCAAAGAGCGAACCCAATCGATGAAACTTTTTTTTTGTTTTGTTCCCACGAATCGACCGTGTCAAGTGTAGATCAGTATGTACGAACTGCTGTGTGGAGAGATCAGAACGTTTTTTTGTTTTGAAGATAACAACAGCAACAAACACCACCACCACCACCACCACCACGACACCAACAACTCCGCATGGCAGGTTGGCAGGGCTGGACGGGACCGCCCCCTTGGCCCGGGTTTTCCGACGAAGGCGTTTCGAGAGAGCTGTCGTGCAGCTGCCGCGTCCTCTCCCGCCTGTGCAGGACCTTCGTGTCCACGCCAGCTAAAGTAAGCACATGCTATGCCCACCAACCTACTGCCGGGGGGGAGTAGCCAACGTAAACACTCTTCTCACGCTTGTACTTCATGGAGAGGCCAAAACATAGGTACAGCAGTTTTTGGGGTTGCGTTGTGTCATGCAATAACGAGTGGTTGTCCACGCCCGCGAAAGTAAGCAGATACCGTTACGAAAGGGCGGAGAGATGGCAGCCCCCCCCCCCCCCCCCGCGCGCAAAAACCAATGTTTAAAACTCGATCGCCCCCTATAAACCAAAACTTGGGGCCAAAAAAAAAATTTTGTTTTTTTCAAAAACCCTCCTCCTGGCGAGGAGGGGTTTTCCTAAACCTGTATCGGAAACTTTTCCCCCCCCCTTGGGGGGGGAAAAATCTTGGCTTGGAAATTGGGGTTATTTTTCCCCCTTTTAAAACACGTTTGTTTGGCTTAATATTGGACCCCCCCGGGAACCCCCCCCGTTGGGGGGAAATTAAAAATATTTTTTTCCCAAAATGAAAAAATCCTTTCACACTTTTTGGGAGGGCTGCCCCTGTGTGTGAAAAGGTTTTTGCTGCCTTTTTTTTTTTAAAAAATTCCGTAATTTCGTTTTTATTTTTTTTAGGGGAATTTGGGGGCCCAAAAAATTAACTCAAGGAAAAACGGGCACCAATGGGGGGGTGGGGTGAACGGCTAAAATAACGCGGGGGGGGGGGGGGGGTGGCCCCCCCCCCCCTTTTTTTTATTTTTTTTTTTTTTTTTT